GCAGCATTGTGTGAATAACCATTGTTGTGTTCCTCTAAATCTCTTCCCTGCTTAACATGCCCCGGAGATCCCGGTGTGACGTTGCATACACTAGCTATGCAGATGAGGAAAACAAGTCAGTGTTCAAATAAAATAAAAAGGACGTTTCAACCTAGTTTTTGAAAATGAACATTGTCTTGAAATGCTGTGATCCCGATTCTTTTTTTTTTAAGACTTGGAATTATGTCGGCGAATATTAAAAACCGAGCACGTTTTGCAGCACTCAAACATCGCCAAGGTTGCTGATTGTCTGCATGGATTTTCTTTTAGTAAAAAAACACAGACTCTTGGAATTTCTGCAGTTAGGCAGTCTCACCACGTTGTGTTTGTTACCCTCAGTTCTATCTATATGACGCTGCCTCCAAAACAACAAATCTGGGCCATCTTCCAATTGAAGCGTCATTATGCACGAGATATGGAAAAGGTCAGAGGTGACGGGAGAGATGGTTCGAGTCACTGCTGTGAGAATAACAGCGTGTCTCACTAACAGAGAAAGCGACTTACTTGAATTGGCTCAACAAACGGACGAGGCCAGTACAGATGTGTAGCAGGTTCGTTCATTGGTTTGATTACAATGTATAGAGATCATAGAAAGTCAATACCTCAGGACAGTGGCGGCCTCAAAAAATTAGAGGGAAGAAAAAAAAAAACTATTATAACTATTTGTCCCGAACCATTCAACACGTAAACTGCTGTAATCGTTGGGTTTTCACGTTTTGGATGGTACCTGAATGCACCGCGTGTGACAGATGCAACCTGAGCATGATGATCTTTAAGCTAGTGCGTATCTAGCCGGGTGCAAAATGGCCAATTTTTTTGACAAGACATAGTCCAGAGAAAAAAAAAAAAAAAAAAAAAAAGATATTTGTTATATTGTACTGAGCTGTAGACCCTACGGTTGTATTTTATTTACTTTTTGTCTCAACAGATCTGAAAGGGCTTGACGTACCATTACGTTAAATAAAAGCAGGGGTGGCCTACAAGAGTGTGAGGTGGTGCAGGACAACAGCTGGGACGGCAAGAAAATGGTTTAAAATCCCAGAAAGGTTCAGTGCAGGGGCATACATTTTAATACCAGGTTTTCAGCCGGGATCCTCTAATAATTAATCACAATGAAAGACAGGTAGACAGATACATTCAACAAGACCTCGTGGATCGTATTGAAGCAGTTGCGAGTTATGTGCTTAAGAAGTATAGCAACAACAACAACAACAAAAAAAAAAAAACAACAACCTGCTAAGGATGAACATTTTTGGAGAAAGTGTAACTGAGCAGGAGAAGCTTCGTGGTTTTAAGTTAAAATGTACTAGGTTTAAGTAATATAGCCCCACTATTTGAGAAGTACTTCTCTAAAGGCAAGTGTTTAAATGACAATTTTGACCCTGACTGTCAACCGATGATTTTCAGATGTGCGTTTGTGTGTAGGAAAATATTTCGTATTTTTTTTCATGACGAAGGCGGCGGAAAGTGGCTGTGGAACAGTGTGAAAAAACCTTTCCACAAGTGGAATTCTTTGGCTCGTGAAGACACCACCAGCTATGGCCACTGGCTCCTGCAGTTTGCATCTGATTCATGATGTTGCCAAGCAGCAGAATGTGAAGAGAATAAAAGACTGGGTCGAGAATAGTGTCCTGTGAGACCCCAAAGGTGATATCTGCCAAAAAAGATAAAGCACTGTCTATTGTGGCGATATGAGGGAGAGTGAATACTCTCTCACAAAGCCAGTTAAGCACAGTATTTTCCACATACTATAGCTTCAGCACTGGGCGAAAGGGCTGTAGTGAATAACTGTATGGTCCAGTGTCAGGCTCTGTCTACGAAACAATACTAACATCACAGCGCTAAGAATATCCCAATTTATTGAGTCCAAAAAAAAAACAAACTCATTCCTTCTTGAACTCACACTCCATGTTGCAGAGTACGGAACACGTTCCCTTAACCCAGTGGTTCTCGATTCTTTTCTGTCATGCGCCCCCTGGTGGACAGAAATGTTTTCACCCCCTCTCCCCACCGCGCCCCCTGGTGGACAGAAATGTTTTCAGCCCCCCTCCCCACCGATATATTTTTATCTGTACAAACCACTGTATGAGTTGCTGCCACCTAGTGACTGGAGGCTTGTTAGCATTCAAGCATTAACGGTTTGTGAAATACTGCCTTAACCAGAGGTTTGATTGACAATGTTATCAGCACTGGACTTATACAACACGTTACATGTTATATGTTACCTTTCCTATTTATTTCTCTGATTTTTTTACATTTTCAGACCTACTGACAACACGGCTGACCTACTGGGGAGATAAACAAATGCTTAATTCATGATGTTCTTCAGACCCGACATGTGATTTTTGCATTGTTAAAACCCTCACATATTCTAACTCAGGATTTACTTTTTGAGAACATAGATGTTTCACAATAGATATACCATATTTTTCGGAGTATAAGGCGCACTTAAAATCCTTTAATTTTCTCAAAAATCAACAGGGCGCCTTATGTATTACTTCTGGCTGCGCTTACTGACCTCGAACCGATTTCATAAAGCCAAACCACACAGCGCGTCACGCATGACGGCACACAACCGAAGCACACTGGGAGCCAACGATGACATTTAACTCTGTTATCACAATTAGAAGATGCTCAACGACAATTGTTACAGTATGGTTGTGTAACCCAAAATCCGTCATGCCTCCAAACACCCGAAGACTCTACGTTGTGTTTTTGTATTGACGGTGTGTGATGTGATGCAGAAGGACCTTTTTTTTATTTCTCCCTTTTTAATCGATGCAGGCAAAACAAACACTCTCTCTGGAAAAACAACATCTGAACTTCTAATAGTGACTCCACGCGGGCCCATCTCACCGATATTGTCAAAACCAAAGTGAAGCAAACTAATTCGGGGCTTGCCATCATTCCGGATGGATTAACCACAGAATTCCAACCGCTAAACATTGGTGTTACCAGGGCGTTCGGAGTTAAATTGCGAGCTTCGTGGGAGCATTAGATGATCACACATTCACCAAGACGAGTTACGTCACTATCTGCTAACGGATCGTGGATGTCTCACACATTCACCAAGACGAGTTACGTCTCTATCTGCAAATGGATCGTGGATGTCTGGGCTAAGGTATCAGTCTCAAATGTCACCTGAGCTTTCACGAAGGCCGGAATCAAAACTAATTAACAGTAACGAGAAAGACTCGGATAATGACGGGAGGGATCGTGGCATGCTTGATTGTTCTGCTTAATTGTTTCGCTGAGTGTTTTGTTTTTGCTTAATGCGTCTTATGACTTGGTGCGCCTTATGTATGAAAATAGACCCGTTCATTGATCTTGCGCCTTACAATTCAGTGTGCCTTATGGTCCAAAAATGACGGGTACTCATTTGATTTTACAGAGCGTGGTTCAAGGGGAGAAAGACGTCAGACGTCGTTCAACTGATGTGTGAGTTTCTGAGTCCGACAGCAGCTGCTGCGGAGAGATGAAGAAATAAGAAGGACCCCTGGGTGAAAGCATAAAAACTTAACTCGGTTTTCTCAAAAGCACCAATCTTGCTGTGTCATCCAGTTTGACAAGCCAGCCTGGTATGGAGCCACACAAACCACGCGGTGCTCGCGGCTGTCAGTTAAAGCTGCATGATCAAGTATGTCAAATGCTACACAGAGTTCTAAGGCCCAAAACCAAAATGTGTTTCCAGCATATATTGTACATCTAATAGGACTCAACCAACCGAACAAATCACTTTGCTCTGAAAACACAAAGCTACTTACAGCTCCCAGTGTATAAGAGCAGAATGGGAGGCAGGGCTTTCAGCCACCCGGCTCCTCACCCTTGAAACTAGCTGCCAGAGCGGGTTCATGAGGCTGACACCATCATTTTTGTTCAAAGTTAAATGCGTTCGTTTTGACAAATACTATTCATAGGTTCGGCTCAGGTAAACCCAAGTTATCTCTTAGTTATACTGCTATAGGCCAAGACTGCTGGGGGAACTCCCATGACGCACTGAGAACTCCCTCTCCCCCACTCTTCTAAGAAACACATATACAGTAAATGAATTAGCGTTATGACAGTAACAGTAATATTCTTTCTTGTCACTCCCTTCACCTAGGAGGTGTTTAGGAGGATCGTTTTGATTTGAATTTTAAAACAGTTTTCGCTATACAAATGAAACCGAGTAGGTTTTTTATATTTTGTTTTTATATTTTTTCCATACATTTTTTTTATATTTTGAGAATCATTTTTTTGTTTTCCCCCAAACCTTTTTTTAGAGAAAAATACATAAAAATCAGAGTAGAAAAAGAAGCATTTTTTTTCAATTACGTTCAATATGAGCAAAGAGTCCCTGCAGAATCATCAGTGTTCAGTATTCAGTTATTGCAGACTCTGGTCTCTGGGCTCAGCTGCCACAAGAAGGCTGAAGTACTCTTGTGGATAAATAGCTTTGTATATGATCATAATGACAAAACACTCAAATGCCATGTTCTGGACATGAACTTTAGAATGACATTACTGTGGGAAGGAAAGGGCATGGACTTGTGTTGTGTTACAAGTCTTATCGGAGTATAATTGAGCGCATTCATTCTTCACTTAACTCGTTAAAAACAAACAGCGTGGTCTTTTATAGCAGCGGTTAACCACTATTGCCGAAATTGTACTGCACTTCTATTATATTTATAGATCTGGTTGAGTTAAGTAGTAGTCTGGAAATTCAATAGCAATTATGAAATCATAGAACAGTCAAGTAGAAAGAACGAATGACTCCCATCATTGGTAGTATTTCGCTTTTCATACTACCTCCACTGACTGCACGTCGGCGGTCGTGACGAACCTTCGCTTAACAGTGTTTGTCAAATAAAAGCCGAGCCAGTTGAAGACTAACGACCTGTCGAGACTGTGATGACTCACGGTGCCGGTCTTCGTCAGAGAGACAGAGACAGATAGAGAGAGAGAGAGAGAGTAATACTTACCATATCTGTATCTGACACTGGCCCAAAACTTGTCACAAAGATGTTTGTCGTAACTTCTGTCACGCTCTCTAAGAAAAGAGACAAAAAGGAAAGAGCTTGTCAAAGTCACGTCTGTGTACCAAAAAGAATTGCTTTTGCTTTTCATCTGCATTCTCTCAGCTGATTGTTTGTGTACACGCCAGCGATGTTTACCTGATGACATTTACCGAGGCTGTCTCATTTACATACCAAAGGATTTTTCTCAGACTTGAAATATGTCTGGTCTTGTCTTGTCTTCCTGTTCAGTACTTGGATTATCTCAAATCTCTAATTCAATTGAATAAAAACAGTAATACTTACATTTTCACAAAGAAAATAATGGACTGGACGGTTAATACAATGCAATACAATATACAGTAGTGCGGTATCAATATGAGTACCATATTTTCCGGACTATAAGTCGCACTTTTATTTCATCCTTTAGCTGGGTTTGCGACTTATATCTTAAAATCACGTTTGTTATTTTCACACTGACAGCCGCTAGAGGGCACTGGTGCGACATATACATGTTTTTTTTTCTCTTCTTCTTCTTCATTATGCATTTTTTGGCTGATGCGTCTCATACTCCGAAGCGACTTGTAGTCCAGGAAATACGGTATTTGTAGTAGTAATAGTAGTAGCTGTAGTATTAACAATTCTACTACTACTACTTACTCCGAAGCGACTTGTAGTCCAGGAATATGGTATTTGTAGTAGTAGTAGTAGTAGCTGTAGTATTAACAATGAATCTACTAAAAGATCATAAGAAAGAGTAGAAAATAACTTTGACTTGAATGTAGTGGCGTGCAATACAAGGCAATATAAGATCGTACGTGGTTCCATTGTGTAGCGGCTATCACGTCTGCCTTACACGTTTGCCTTACACACGGAAGGTCCTGCGTTTGAGCCCAACAGGAACGACATACTAAATGGCGCCTCCAGTGGCAGCTTGAGTGGAGGGCAAAGACTCACACTTTGAATTTTCCCATTATGGGACGAATAAGGGCTTTCTGTACGTGTGGATTGGATGGGGACGAGTGTCAGCGGCGATTTGTGACAGAAGAATAGCAGCAACGTGGAAAGAGAAGATTTATGGAACAGTACTGAGACCTGCTTTTATGTGTGGTTTAGAGAAGGTGGCTCTGTTTAATAGACAAAACGCACACAGCTGCAGGTGGCAGAGATAAAGATGATGAAATTTTCACCGGTGGGAGAGGGAAGGTGGAGCATTTTGGATATAAAACGAGGAGGATTTTCTTCTTTTACATTCCCATACGTGTCACCATTACACAAACTACATGAAACGTGTGAAGTCCTGTTAAATAAGACATACCAAAAACAGGAACATCTATATATGAAATGCAGTGACTCACATGAGATAATGACACATAAAGTTGCTGTACAATGGAAATGAACTATATTTTTATGTTTGGATTTAAACTTTTTTTTTTTCCTGAATAACTTGTATTCAATCACATCGTTATGTTCAGGCTTTTAGTCAATATTCCGGCACCCCACCACTCCATTGGAAGCCAATGGAATATGGCACGCTGGATATAAGCATACCACTGCTGTAATGCTTGAATGATAACAAGCCTCCAGTCACTAGGTGGCAGCAACTCATACAGTAGTTTGTACCACCACGAGTATCTCTGGCCAGCATTGCTAACAATCTAACCCCGTAGACTTGACTTCAAGTGTATTATTCATGAGTTTCTGTAAAAAAAAAAACAACAAAAAAAAAACAAGACTTTAGTTCAGTGAAACTACAATTTGTTTTGTTAAACTTAGTTTTTTTTCTCTCCATTGCAGCATTGAGTTCGCTCTGGGCCAGGCTTCAGGCTGGGTGTGTTTGCAGAGACAACCTCCCTTTTGACCTAAAATAATTTTTGTTAGCTTGCCCCGCGAACATTTAACTGTCCCCGAGGGATGACTGGATGAGTAATGAACTGCAGCAGCTCAGCATTTAGAACGTAGGTCTGTGTGTATTTTTTTTTTTTTACTTCATTTATAACCTGACTTTTTCACTGTCGCACACTTTAATTACTTTCTGAGTTGTGGTCTGTGTGTGTGTGAAATGACAAGGCTCCTATGAGGCTTTTTTTGGTTCGTTGTATTTCCGTAAATCTGGACGTCCACTCTTTTTTGACTTGAGAGCTGCTATTTAAATGACCAGGCTAAAGTGATCTACCTGTAATGAAAATGTCAAATATATATTTACTAGGGATGTCCAATAATATCGTCCGACCAATAGAATGATGTCCAATAATATCGGCCGACCAATAGAACAATTATGTAATATCTGTAACATATATAATTTCATGTATTGTTAACGTTTTTTTTCTCTGATATTAAAAGTTTTGCTAAATATGGTAGAATTGCTTGTGGGGTCCTGGGACTTTTACTGCAGTTTTGGGGTAAAACAGCTGTGTATATCGGTATCAGCCAATATCGGAATCAAAAATTAATTGTTTGGACAATATCGGCATTTCAGATCGACAAAAGTTAATATCCGACATCTCTAATATGTAGTCATAGAAACCGAACATACTTTATAAATATATAATATATATGTATGTATATGTATATGTATATGTATATATATTTATTCTTCATCTACCTGTGCTCCCTTTGCGATCTGCTTCTAGATTGCGGTCTACTTAATAGCGACCCCTGCTGTTAATCATATTTGTTTGTGTCATTGCACGACTGATACAAAACAGAACATTAGACTCTGATATGAATTATGTTACGCAGGATGAAGACAATATTTTTTTAAATATATTTTTTTTCATCTAGTGCATGTTATGAAACTCATGATGGAACCAAATATAGGCCTTCTCAGTATTGGGCTGAGTCATCTCCTTTGGGGCAAATGTGTTAAGAAGGCTTTTGGGCCGTTGGCTAGACAAATAGGTTCCTCCCAGCAGGCGAGCAACTAGAGTGATGAGACTCTTCACGGAACGTGAATGAATCCTCAGCCCTAACTGAGTCCCGGATCTCCGAGACCCACCCACAAGTAGAGTCTCCCAACCTCCCCCAAAGTGGCCCCCTGAGAGAGGAGATCCTGTTCCACATTAATCATTCCTGTGACACAAACACGCTCACAAATACGTGCGATTATCACTACACCTAGTCAGCAGTTTGCATGGCAGTTTTATGTTGGGTACGGAAGGCGTAGCTGTATCTTTGCTTACAGAAAGGCACCAGAGCAAAGAGGACAGCTAATAGTTGCTTCAGAAAATACAACATTTTTTTTTGGCTTCTGTCATTGGATGAGCCAATAAAATACAATTTCTTACCCTTCGAAATAATATGACAATGTCAAATTCCCTAACTTTGGCTAAATCTGAGTGGGAAAAAAAAGTGTATTTCTAGGCCACATGGAATGACCTGAGGAGTCCATAACTCCTTTTGGTTTGACACATGCCTGTGTATAGATTAAACCAGCGGTCCCCAAGGATCAAGGTAATACCACGCCATTGAAGAAGAATCATTACAGTTTCAAATCTTTTACACTTTATTCTGTTAGTATCGGGGTTTGAAAGACCTATTTTTTTGATTCATTGCCCGATTATCTTTTAATGAAAAAAGTAAAGCAATATATATATATTTTAAATGAAGTAAATTAGCAAATTATCACCTACGGACCAGCATCGATCCTCGGACCAGGGGTTGAGGACCCCTGGATAAAAGTGATTATTAACGAATCAACAAGAACCAAGGCAACTTCTCATTCGGTTTTATTTTCAACTGCTACCTGTCTGTGTGTATATGTCGGTGTACCTGTACCCATCAATGTTGAAATCAATACATTGATGGGCACAGGTATTATTTATGCTGCGTTTTGTTTACTTTTTGTTACTTCAATATATCCTTCCTAACCTCTTAGAATGTTTAGGATTTTCTATTTTTACTTATTTTTGCATAATAATCCAGGTCATTTTGTTGTAATAAGGTGAAAAGCAACCAGCTGGACTGGTTCATTTTTATCATGACATTTCTCATTCAAAAGATTTAATTGACCGGATATAAATTTTAGTATTGAACTTCCAAGTGCTGAAAACCTGAATAGAAAATAATTCTGCCAAAAGCGAGCAGGTATCCACCCTCTGATCCATTTACATGGGGTTAGTTATGACTCACACAGATGAATGAGTGTTTACACCGTGTTGTTCATTACATGAGGTTTGAGTGACACCACATTGAAGAAGCTCAAAGTCAAGCCATCTCCTTTGTGGAGCGATGATTACTCCCGGTTGACGTAGATGCCTTTTTTTTACTCTCTCTCAAACCATCTGTCCTCCCTGGCAAATATATGTCTTTCTCAAAGTCTGTCCTTTGTCATTAAGGTGAAATTGACAGCTGACTCATGGCCTGCGGAGCTGGCAGTCCTAAGTTGTGGCCCATGCTTGTTAAATTGCTGTTTGATCTCCGAAATGCACATAGTCCTCAAAGCAAAGTATGGGGGGGGAAACTACATTTTCCTTGTTGACATGGTCATAGTGTTTGCAAAGATATGTTTTTAAGTTTCTAAGGCTCTAAGGCGAAATTATCCCAGGAAGCAGCAGTAGTTGTTTCTATTCTCCTCTCCTCTCCTGTCCTTTCTTTTGGTTTCGGCGAAACGCCAGTTCGGGTAGCTGCAAGTCTTCAGTCTTGAGCGTCATATAATGTTCATCGCTTTGTGGTTCAATATCCTGATTACACCGAGTGCGTTATTTAGTGAATGGTGGAGGTATAATAGCGGGAAGGTTTACGAGGGGCTGGTGCAGTGCAGTGTGATTTGGGTGGTGGTCATGGAGACTGCTGCCCGGTAATGAAGTGGACGTAGATGGATGGATGGATGGATGGATGGAGGTCAAATATCAGTTCTAGGGCAATCTTCAATATTGGGGCTCAAATCTATCCCTATGTGACCAGCAGTCGAGAAAAGCAACCTTATTTCTTCCTATCTTCAGTGGTCGGGAGATTAAACTTAAAATTAAAATAAAAGTTATATTTTCATCCTCAACCAGGTATTGTTTTCGTAAATATATATAACTATGGTTAGATGCAATTTCGCTAAAGCAGGGGCTCTCAACCCCTGGTCTGGGGACCGGTGCCGGTCCGAAGGTCATTTGGTACCAGGCTGCAGTGGGACAGTAAAAAAAAATGTACTTGAGTTTTACTAATTCACTTTATTCAAAAAGACTCCAGTCATATCCCGTCACTTTATCATTTAAAGATCTGTCACGGTTTCAAAACAACAGGTCATTTAGACTCTGATACTAACAGAATCAAGTCTAAAAGATGTTTTATTTTGAAAATGTAATAATCCTTCAACAATGGCGCGGTATTACCGGTCCGCAGTAACGGCTGATACCAGGCTGACCGGTCCTTGGTCCATAAAGGTTAGGGGACTGCTGCTCTAAAGGACACGAGAGTGTAGACGAACACGGAGAATGTGTGGATCTTTTTTTTTTTTTTTATAAAGTCACAATCATTCAAGTCTTCCGTACAAAGGAGGTTGAAACCAAGAGATTTTAAGCGATCAGAAAGAACTACAGAACCCTGTTGGATGACAAGTGAAATATCTTCTAAAAAAAAAAGCCAGTGCAGCTGTCTGTTTCTAAACTACTGAGGACTGGCATCATGTCTTCTGTGTAAGAACAAAATGATTCTGTCACTGAGTCTGACTGACTCTAACGTACTGCTCGAATTTTAAAACGAGTGTTTCAGTCAGTGCATGGATTTGTTTCTTCCTCTGCTTGTGCCAGACGTGTTTTTTTCAGGATGTTTTTTAAAGGATTACTCAGCCAGTCTTATAAATAATGTTCCAACTCTTAACTGCAACAGTTAAAATAGATATGTAGAATTAACCCTTTCATGCATGACGGTCACTACAGTGGACAGCTATTAAAATGTCATTTTCTATGATAAAGAATAGGTTTTGATGGCAGTGTTGCATATAACCCTCTACAGTGGACGCCTGAGAATCACCCAACACTGCCATACAGTGGTCAGCCTTTGCAACTGCAGAATAATTGTGTCAACATTCAAAAAGAAAATTTGGTGTATAAAAACAGAACCAAATCAGTTCTTATTTTTATGTCTAAAAACACATAAAAACATATTTGGGTTATATTATACAAAAGGAGCATCTGTGTGAACCAAGATAAATGACGTATAAAAAGTCATGCATAAAGGCCAAAATTATTTTATCATTTTCTACGCCATCTATTGGGGATATGTGGGTATTGCAGGGAAAAGGCAGAAGTATAATGATAATATAAATAAATATTATAATTTGGAAAAGTTTGGCGGGCCGAACTAACAAGCTGAATGGGCCGCATCTTGCCCCCGGGCCTTAGTTTGCTCATGCCTGCTCTAGTTAATATTTGGTGTTTCTATATATAGCGTGCAAATGTCTGTACTGCACAGGTCGGGATATGTGTATCTTTTCTTTGAGTTTGTGTGTTATATCTGTGCCGCACAAAGAGATAGACAGGCAGTGAAAATCTATGTACAATGTCTGAGCACGCAGACTCATTTTAGCTTCAGGAAGGAATATTTTGGATGAAATAGCATCAATTAAAAGGATTCGCTCTGACATATGTCCTTATGGGCCATTTCAGCATGGCTGAACAAAGACTTGGTCCCAAGGGAAAGGCAGATTTCCATTTCACTGCTCCACCAGATGACCTGACTTCAGCCCGAGCTGGGGTTTTAATGCATTGTGTTCTGTGCTATGAGTCGCTTTCCCCCTCCCCCCCCCAAGACACAATGGACATCAATACGTCTAAAATGAGCAAAGGAGGGATTATTGATGTAGCTCTGTGCAGTCGGACAGAAACATAACATTGAGAAATCATCGCCATAAATAATTACGACGGGAAAACAGTGATTAAATAGTCTGTAAAAATAAATGGCATTTCCCAACATTTAACAAAACTGCTGTTTTCGAATAAGGGTACACGTAATACACCAGACAGCATTGTGATTGAATGATATCGCAGTAGTTCTTCAGCATGATAATCTTGGTGCTGAGTCACTCAAATACAATATTTGCTATGCTCTATATCAGGCCTGGGCAAACTTTTTATCTTGTTAGGCCACACTTGTCCTAAAATTGAACAGGGGGGGACGGGGGGGAGAGGGGGCTGTTGTGTGAACCAAGATAAATGACATAAAAGTCATGCATAAAGGCTAAAATGCTTTTATCACTTTCTACGCCATTTATTGGGGAAATGTGGGTATTGCAGGAAAAATGGAGAAGTATAATGATAAAATTTACAATTTGGAAAAGTTTGGTGGGCCGGATTAAAAAGCTGAACAGGCCGCGTCCGGTCCCTGGGCCTTAGTTTCGCTCATGCCTGCTCAATAAACTATATAAAAATGTATATCTTTAGGTGTGTTCATTTTTTTGTTAGGCATCAATTGGTATTACATTTGTAGGCATTCCCTGATGTTTTTCTCGGAGTCATTGAACATATAGCATTATTTACCTCCCAGGCCTGGACGTAGCCTGTTGTCATATCCATCTAGAAGCCTGTCAAGGATCCGGGTGAAAATAGTGATGTTGTCTCTGCTATCGTCAGGGAGCGGCTCTCTGTGTCCAACTACGGCCCTGTAGCAGAAAAGTGGGGAGAAGAGGATGGATTTAAAAGCTTGAAACCACAGTGTGTGTGTGTATATACATATATATTTTATGTGTGTATATGTATATATATATATATGTATATATATGTATATATATATATATATATATATACATATATATATACATATATATACATATATATACATATATATATATATATAGTATAAGTGTTTAATTTAACACATATCTATTAATGATAATCACAGAAAGGCCGAAATCTCAACGATTGGCAGATGGCCCGTTACTTGCAGCAGGATTGTGAACCAATTACACGTGAGATAGATTTCCAGGTGGAATATCAAGTAGTAAGTGGTTGGGGGTCTTAGGGGTCCGTGGAGCTGTTTAGATGACCTCTGCTAATCATGTAGAGCTCCCATCTGACCATGGCCGTGCAAACCCATTTGAAATTAAATCGTTTCACGTATCAAATTGCCAAATCCAGTACTGCAGAAAACCTGGCTGAATCAAAGCAAGTTCTGCTCCCGTGATGAGCGGCTCTGAGACAGAAGAATAGCAGCAAAGATGAAAGGTAGAATTTATAAGACAGTAATGATCTGAGACAGAAGAATAGCAGCAAAGATGAAAGGTAGAATTCATAAGACAGTAAGGAGATCTATCTATCTATCTATCCATCCATCCATCCATCCATCCATCCATCCATCCATCCATCATCCATCCATCCATCTATCCATTCTCATAATAAAGGAACTTTGTTCTTCAGACATTTTTTTTATAAACTTCTGACTTCATTTCATGTACATTTACAATTTCATAAACCTATGACTTTATGCATACCATGTAAAAGGCCTTATATGTATAAGGCCGTAATTGTATATTATATGTTTTTTTTATCCACAATTTGGCGCTAATACTTTGTCGCAGGATAACAGGTCAAACAGTATGTTAAAAACATATTTCCCAACCCTGTGTCTCTTACAGATGGAGAACAAATCACATGCTATCAGTCATTATGGTTATTAATTTACATGTCCCATAATCCCCTGCAGAACAATACTGCGGGGGGCGGGGGGGCCGGGGGGGATGAAAAGGCTACAGTACTGTAGGTGGAACACTGATGAGTTAATGAGTAGTGTCTTTAATTAAACTCGAATCCCCGTGGGCGACTGACCTATAATATCCAAGTAATCCCCTTTTCACAAGCACTCTGATTGCGGCACAGTCGCCGGACACGCTGCTCAATAACAATGTGTGTTTTAAGAAGAAGTTTAGGGCTTTGAGGGCAAATGCAATTTTCCTTAAATGTTAATTACAGAGTAGACTGTGAATCTTGCAGCTACTTCATTTACAAATCTTTTAAGTGCGCGACGTCAAAACAACATTTTAAAAAAAGTCAGCAGACTTTTACCCTGCTGGTTTATTCAATTTATTCCATGGACTTGTCAACTGTTTGTGTTTCACTTTTTGTTTTAAAACGTGGGGGTTTAGTGTGAAGTTTTTCTTTTGGTGAATAACATAATAAGTGCAGGTTTATTTCCAAAGTGCGAAGGTGCTCAAAGAATGCAAACCAAGAAGAAAAAAAAAACCAGAAAACAGGCATCAATAAATGTACTACAACCACTACCAGAGGTGAAAAGTAATGAATTACATTTACTTAAGTTACTATCATTGAGTAGTTTTGTGAGTATTTTAGTTTGCTACGTTTGAAAAGAACCAGTTACTGATAAATAAATTAAATGCATGGAAAAATATACTGCGTTAACTGTAAGGAAATTGGTTTGGCGTGCGTGCGTGTGTGGATTTCCCACTATGTTGATGTAGTCAGATAACATTGAGTCATAGACGGGCTCCAGCCTGTTGTTGGATGATGGCTGGTGCCGAACAGGAAATGGAGGTTGACGATTGCCAAGCTGAGAGCTCCTGTGGAGCAGATGAGTCAGAAAAGAGAAGGAAATCCTTGGCCATATCTCAGCCAGCTTAAAATAATGTTAGTATTGCAAAACAAAGAACGTGCTTAATGTTTAATTTTACCACTGCTATGTTGGCTATGTTAAACTAGTGACTTCTTCTGGTTCCGCTACTTACTCACTTAATTAGCGTTAGCATTTTAGATTCATGAGTTTTAATTGTTACATGCATGTCATACATAGTACAATGTGTAGTAATTATTATTATTATTATTATTATTATTATTATTATCCTAGTTTCTGTGTTTACCTTACAGTGGAGGTGACTATATATTTTTGACTTTTACTTTGCTTCCAACCTATTGTACTTATTCATTATTTTAAGTGTGTCGGAATGAGAAATGTGCAGTCTTGTTAGGTTCGGTACTGTGCTCGCATGTACTTATGATTTTATTCCGCTAAGCTCGAGACTTCAGTCTTACAAAAGTACAACTTTTTTTTTATCGTGATGTTGGAACTTCATTCTCTCATAATCTTTTGCAACGTTGCCCTAATTTCCTTCATACCTGTTGCCTTATGTAACACGAATAAATAGTACTGTTGCCAAAAAGGTTACATACAATTCACATTTTAAACCCATGGTCTAGAATGATACAATAATATCTCTCCATAATTATCAATTACATATAGCATTTTTCTCCGTGTGTGAATGTATTATATTATGCCATAATGTCTACAGGTTTTTTTAAATTTTTTTTACTTCTATGCCGTGTATTTATGTGTAAAAGTTTTCGAACACATACTGCAGAATGCGCCGAAACTTTAAGCAGAATGATGAAATGCAGAGCTAACTGGTGCAAGTGTTTAAAATCCAAAAGATAAGAGTCTAACGTTTACCCCAATGCAAACACCACGTCCCTCTGCATCTGCTGCTAAACATTAAAAGCGTTCATCTGGCTAACAGCGGGATTTATTGTGAAGAAGCCACGGGAAATGTGAGATCATTATTGAAAAATGCAGATCAGTCAGCTCCGTATTGGACCACACTTGCCTGTTACCAAGGAGACCAGGGGTTTCAGAAGTGAAGCGGGGTTAAACCGTGAAGAATGCACCGCTAGGAATGAGGATGGTGTTCATAAAAGTGATGATCTATTATTTTCGAGGCAAAGGCAGTTGGTTTGCTCTGTTAGAGTTCAGTGCAAAGTCGTGTTATGGCTCAAAAAAAAAAAAAAAAAAGATAAAAAAGCAACATATGTAAATATTAGAATCAGAGTCCCTAAAGGCAGTGCAGAATACTGTCAGTGTAAAAATACAAAAAGCACAGAGACGTTTAAGCTAAAGTAGTGACATCTTACAGATACTTGACATCAATTTATCTTTAACTCTCTGCTTGGAAATTGATGGTATGAACTCTGGTCTCTGAGAATTGGTTCTTCAAATAGCTCTATCTGTCGATCTCGGTCTCTCTCTCTCTCTCTCTTTTCGTGTTTTTATTTGTTGAATTTCTATTATTTATTATTTTTTATCTTTTTTATTTTTCTGACTATAAGTCGCACTTTTTTTTTTATACTTTGGCTAGGTTTGCGACGTATACTCCGGAGTGACTTAAAGTCCAGAAAATACAGTAAAGACTATAATTTCACATGTTTGTTATTTTCACACTGGCGGCCGCTAGAGGGCACTCTAGTTGGCTGGTGCGACTTATACTCCGGAGTGACTTATAGTCAGGAAAATACGATAAATACTTTTTGTTTACATTCCGATTGTCTAGTCACACCAGGCTCTTTTGCACCGTTGTCTTTTCCAATAAATGCAATATTCAATAAAAGTAGTAACACAAAAAATAAACATAAAAACATTTGATGCTTAAAACAGTAAATTGAATTTACTACGTTGATACATTTCACGCCGTGTCATTTTGTTTTTCACTCAGGAGCTAATGGTTCTCCATTGTCTGTGCTTTCCGCACTATTTTCACCGTCCACTTTTATCTCGAACGTATTTGTCAACGTAACGGATGTTCCTGTGTGGTTTAAGACTGTTGGCCTGAGAGCCAGAAGGATGGCTAAAGACTTTGAGAGCTGGTGGGTACAAATGTGTGTGGGTCCACCCCGCTGAGTTAGTGGAACGGGCATGTAGTGAATAAGTGGGCTGGCTTAGCTCCAAGGTTAGCACTCTGAACCAGGCTGACAGGTGAAGGATTAGAGGCTTGGCTACGGGAGGATATGCAGTGGTGGGGTCTCAGGACACAGCAGGCTCCTGCTGGCAGCCAGGAGGAGGGGAATGAGTTTGGAAGCTGGAGGAAAGTGGACAGTAATGAGAGCGGCTCTGGTGGCAGGAGGACATGAAGCTGCTCCATGATTCCCTAGAGTTGCAAGGACACACAAATGACAAATCCAGCTGCAATGTTGGAGCTAAATTGCATCGTTGGCCTGACCTGAAGGGTATAGGTGACGACGTGACGTGACAACAATGGCGGCAAATCATACTAAGCAGGCAAAATATGTGTACGATCACTTATCTCTTATTCTCTACTGTTCCTCTACTCAATACAGTTTCCCTTGAAGGGCTGGTTGTAATTACTCCATGACGTATTAACACATTTTTCTGCAATTGAATATTATTTAATCAAGTTGCAAATTTTCTACATTGACCCTGAAAGTGTAATAAAAAAAACCTTATTGTATCAAGTTAAAAAAAATCACATTCAAGACAAATCAGACAACAAAAAAAGAAAAAAAAAAACCAATACAAATACCTCAGTTCATGTCAAGTCACATTCACAACATAATTACCTATAAATAAAAATAAGTCCATGTTTTTGTTTTGAGCCTCGTTTTTCTGTAAATGAGTACAAGAACATTAGAAAATATTAATATTCAATCAAATATAATTTAATAGCAGTTTTTTCCACTTTCATAATCATCATATCTGGGCCGAATTGACGTGCAGTCAGTCACCTGCAATCATGATAAAAAAGAAACGAAGACATAAAATAAATATCAATATTTTCCACTGATCTGTGTTAAAGATGCATTTTTTAGTACGACTCTACACATTTTTTTACATTCTATTCAGTAAAAATCGCGGAACTGTAGTGCG